TTGGTTGACCTAATTATAATAAACCAATTGAAAATAATATATATATATATATGTATGTATGTATGTATGTATGTATGTATGTATGTATGTATGTATGTATGTATGTATGTATCCAGTTTCAAACTGATAATAATCAGGCAATAGATTAGGAATCGAAACTGACCCATCAATACCAAAATCATCATCCCAATCGGTTCAGGTCCATCAGGCCGGGCCCAACCCATTGACAGCCCTATCTTTTCTTTCAAACCAAACACTGAAAATAAGTTTCACATTGTCACCTACCAAATTTAAGATATCTAAATCTAACATAACTGGCCAATTATCTATAAGAGCAATAAATGACTTTTTGTTTAAAGCATCCACAACTATTTTTGCATCGCCCTAAGAAAATAAGATGGTGTTTGGTATCAATGGTGTTTTTTGGAGCCTGGTGCTAGTTCAACACCATATAGGAGTTTAACAGAAAAACACCAAAATGATGCTTAGCTGAGTCGTTTAATTGACAAACGTGTCTCTCGATTTATGTGAGAATTGTTTATCAAAAAACAAAAAAAATGATGTTTTTCATTTTCAATGGCGTTTTTTACTATTTGGTTTATATGGCGCCTAATGGCGTCTAGTGGCACCTAGGCCATGTTTGGGAGTGCTTAAAAATAAGTGTTTATTTGGGCGGAGACCACACCGTTAAGCACTTATTAGTGTTGGGGAAATAAGCTTGAAATAAGTGCTTATTTTAAAAATAAGGGCTTATTTTTTAAGCCCAAATTTCTAGCTTTTTTAAGTGCTTATACAATAAGCACTTATTCAATTTTTTTCTCCCATAATTGTCCCCAATAAATTTTTAGAATACCAATTATAACCCTTTCACAAAAACAATTTTACACAGACACTTTTATAAAAGCACTTTTACAAAAACACTTTTACAAAAACACTTTTATAAAAGCACTTTTACGGAAGTTATTTTATAAAAGCACTTTCATAACAGTATTTTATGAAAGTGCTTTTACCAAAGTACTTTTATGAAAGAACTTTTGTAAAAGTACTTTTATAAAAGCACTTCTATCAAAGTACTTTTATTCATTCACTTTGGATTAAATATTTTGAAATTTTGAAAGAAAAATGTAGGATAAAAAAGTCACAATTGCTTATTGGAGAAAAAGACCACCAAACACCCAATATAAATTAAGTGCTTATTTTTTTAAATAAGCACTTGAAAAAGCTGGATGCCAAATGTAAATAAGTGTTTATTCGAATAAGCACTTATTTTTAACATAAGCGTTCCCAAACATGGCCCTACTAGCACCAAGGTGTCAAAAAAAGACATTTACAGCAGATTTTGTCCCGAAAATCATACAATACGTTTATTAAATAAACACGACTGATACTTACCATACCTTAAGTTTGTGAATCCAAACCCGAGTGAATACATGTCATTCCCTAATGCAAAAAATTTAGCATATTTAGGAAAAGAAACATAACAAAAATGGTTTGAACACCAGACTAGACTGAATGGCCTGACTAGTTGACCTAAAAACCGCTCATGGCTTTGGATCCTGTTTTGAACCCCAAAATTGTCCAACTGGGCTTCAGACCAAACAGTCAGACCATTTGATCCAAGAATCAGTGGCCAGAATGGTTTCGTTTCTGGTTCATTTTTAAAACCATGATAATAGGAGTCATGTATACCCAACAAGAAAGAACCAGCATAACTTTTAAAATTATTCCAAAACCGTAAATACCCTGCCTAACAAAACTATCAAAGAGACCAAAAAACTTTCCCACCAACCGTATTTCAGCTCGAACAGATCCTCAATGTCATTGTGGAGGAAAACTTTGGCTGTTTGTAAAAAACAGTTGGGCTGTTTTGGGAGACTTCTATGAATGACATCTCATAATGAGTGTGAGCAAAAAAATATTTACACTCAATATTTTTTAATTGAAAAGAAAAAAAGGACCTGAATTAGCTAGGTGTCATGTGCAGAGCCTCCCAAAACAGCCAAAGTGATCCAGTGTGGATGATTGGACCTTCCTTTTTTCATATGAGGGGTCATTTGATAACAACTTGGAGGGACTGAATTGAAAAGCTTATTGCTTTGTCCTTTAGTCAGAAGAAAAGGCTCAAGTTCGATAAATTAATATATTCTTGATTATTTCATTGTTTATTTACTTGATTTGCTAAAAGACAAAGTATTAAGCCTTTCAGTTCAGCAAATTTGACCCTAAGTTGTCTGCCCTTTAGGCTTAGTTTGGAAGGAGTATAAATGCAAATATGTAGGCTGTAAAACCTTATATTTTGTATTATTTTCTTTGTACTTGCATTGTACATATTTGCATTTGCACTCTTTTTAAGAAAGGAGTATAAATGCAAACATGTAGAGTGCAAAACTTGTATTTTGTATTGTTTTGTATGTATTTGCACTGTATATATTTGTATTTATATTCTTTCCAAACTGAGCCTTATGGTTTATTTGTGGTGATGCAATATGATGTGAATGAGCTAAATGTCATGTCAAGCTGTGTATGTCAAACCAGTAACTGATTTAGATGCAATATTCAAGGATACATTGTACAATAGGAATTGTTTTTCTTGTTGTCGGTTTCAAAAACAAATAAAAACCATCTAATTTGAAAATAAATTGTTTCTCAAAATATAACTACAAAAAAAAGATGTTAATGATTATATATGTGTTTTATGTTTTCAAAACTAAAATAAAAAACATGTTCTTGAATTCCTAATCTCAAAAATATGTCTTAGTTATGTCATTCAAAATCAATTTATTTTTGTCTTTGAAAGACATGTTTTTATTTTGTTGCGGGTGCGGTGATTTCAAAAACAAATAAAAACAAAAATGTTCATGCAGATTATATAAACCCTAAAAGTGCAGAAGGTGCTAATTTTTTGTACATAGTTATGTCATTTGCATCATTAAAGCAACCTATCACAATGACAGGTTAGATTTACCAAACACAAGCTATGTGGCTTAGGGCGGTTTGGTAACAGCTAAGTGCTGAATTGAATGAATTATTTTTTCATCTTTTAAAAAAAGTAAGGGTAAATTTTTTAAACTATCCCTACTGTTTAGTTAATTGACAAACTCTATTCTTATTATTTATATATTATGTTAAAGCACCTTCTAACAATTGACTAATTACTATCCTACCATTAGGGTTCCGTCACAATCCGTTATAATCTGCTCTCATGCCACACCATGTGATTGTTATATTTTGAGAAAATGATAGTAATACCCTTATCTTCACCCCAATGCCGGTGTTTGTCATATGAAAATGGGGGGTATTGGTTCCTATCGTCTGAAGCTCAAGAGCATGTGCTTACTTTTACTCACCCCTAGCGCCAATGCTTACAGATATGCTCTTCTTCTTAATATCTCTAGTTTGGGAAGAGAAATGGCAATTTCCGTCTGAACGAAGCGAGTTACCAATCCACTCAATGACAAGGTGAGGAATTATCTATGTGGGAGAGATCACTGGAATAACAACTATGTTAGTAGCGGGAGTGAACACAATGGTGATGACTCTCCTTGTCTCTCCAACCTCGTTCATGGCTTCTTGGAAGATAGCACTGAGGTCCGGCAACGAGAGGATCAATCCGACTTAGATCATGATTTCTTCGGCAGTGAACAGACTGATGTGATCAAGGATCTGGAGAATGCGATGATGGTCGATGGTGAGGATTCGTTTCGGCAGCTGCTTGTTTCTACTCGCTTCAAAGCGATGGAGATATTCTCTTGCTTGAGACTGAATAAGGAAGCCTTCCGATATGCTATGGTTTATCTGTGAGATTTAGACTACAATGCTAGGATTTGCAAGACGAAATGGGACAGCTCCGATGGGGTGACCACCGGGAGCTACGAGTTCATCGACGTAGTGAGGTTGATGTTATATGCAAGCGAAATGGTTTAGACCGTACGAGAGAACAGTTAACCAGGTCCCATTGTTGACAGCATTCTCGGTCGGTTGATAAATTCGCCGCGCAATGCAAGTCCGTCAGATTCGACGTTGTATCTAACAGTACCAGTGGTCGTTTCGTCTGACCAGTGACAATTCATACATGGTTTGGCTTAGGTTTTTATTTTTTTGAAAATTTAAATTAAAATAAAAGATAAATTTGACATTTCATTTTTTTAGTTTGTCGATTAACTAAACAGTAGGGATAGTTTAAGAAAAAGTAAGTAAGAACGTAGTGAGAAGAAATGATTAATACAACTTTCCAATTTTATTTTAAGAAGAAAACAGTAAGTGATTCATTTCAGCCATTTCAGCTAGGGCTGTTCATAAGAAGGCCCAACCCGACCAATCCGAACCGATCCAACCCGAGTTGGTCGGATTTTCATCAGTATCGGTCGGTTTCGGGTTGGGCAAAATCATAAATCGATATACCGGGTCGATTTCGGGTTTCTTATGTGAAAATCGAAACCGATCCGAACCAAACCGAACCAATTAGTTTTCTAATTCGGCAGTTCCTAGTTTCCTACTTAACTAGTCTTCTACTAGAACTAGAACAACCCTATCTTCTAGTTCTTATTTAACTAAATTGTATCTATCCTAATTTCTATAGTCTTTTACACCAAATAGGCAATCCATTAGACAATTACAATTAGAATTAGGTGTCCTTCTAGTTCTAGACTTCTCTATCATTTTTGTATAGGAGCAAAACCGAAACCGACCCAACCCGATTCAAACCGACCAGGTTGGTTTTGCCTATCAATGAGTCGGTTCGGTTTCGGTTTCCACCTTATGTAACCCGACCAGGTCAGGTCGGTTGGGAAAAACCCTATAAACCGACCCAACCCGACCCGTGAAGAGCCCTAATTTCAGCCGTTTGTCTTATCTAATGGGTTTTCACGCTTTACCGTAGACATCTAATTGGCGAATCGCTTTCAAATTAGGTTAAAATGGTCAATCCAAAGGGTAATATATATACATAATCGCTCTCCAGTGACCTACTTCCCCCGTTCTCCGTCTCACAAAAAGTGCTTGCAAAAATAGACTGACACAGTTCACTAATAAAAGAATAATTCTCAAAGGGGTAGCTTTGCATTGTATAGAGATTAGAGAGGTGTTCACCATCCCTTCTCCCCTTCTCGCGTGGGGTGAGACCGTGAGAGGAGTTGTCATCTATTTTTTCGTTTTTCTTCCTCAAAATCCTCTTGAATCATCCGCTCCCTCTTCGATTCTTGCCTGAACATCGAATATTTTAGATACCCATATTCTCAACTTCACCTGTTCGCAGGTTCTTCAGTCCCCCCCTCCCCCCTAAAAAACGTCCTTCCCCTTTCTTTTTCTGATACCCATCTGCTGAAGATAGCGTTTTGGTGAATGCCCATCTGCCCGAAAACGAAATATTGTGTTTTCTGATACCCATCTGCAGACATCCGAATCAATGAAAGAAATGGTTTTGGGTGCCCTGGAAACCTGAAGGAGTCTTCGTGTGCAAGCTTATCAATGGCAAGAAGAAGAGTGCAAGGTGTTGAAGGCAAAGGGAATGGGTTCTTCTCGAGTTCTGGAATGGGCTTACAGTGGAATCTGCAAGACGACTGTTTTCACCCAGGAGGCCTATTTGCAAGCGTCGGTCAGGTGGGAATGGGATTTGGCGTTTCTCCCAATTCTCCAAAGCCAAGAGACAATGGTTTGAAGCTTCCATACACCGACCTATATGTCAAGTATGTCTCTTCACCGGAATCTGGGATGCGGATTGTTGGGATTCCGCCAGAGACGGCGGCGACGGATGAGGCCGCGGAGGAGTTGGAAGGAGTAACCAAGAAGAAGAGGAAGGGTGGCCTAAAACTTAAGTTGAAGATAAGGAATCCTTCGCTGAGGCGGTTGATCAGCGGAGCGATCGCCGGTGCTGTCTCGCGGACGGCGGTTGCCCCTTTGGAGACGATAAGGACGCATCTGATGGTTGGGAGCAGTGGGCATTCAACAACTGAAGTGTTCAATACTATCATGAAGAATGATGGTTGGAAAGGCTTGTTTCGGGGTAATTTTGTGAACGTGATTCGGGTTGCTCCGAGCAAGGCCATAGAGGTAAGTTATAGAAAACTTTGGTGTTTCCCTGTTTCGACTTCTTACATTTTTTTATGGCCGTTGATGAATTTCTTGTTTGAGTATTTAACCAACTTTGAGTCTATTGGATACGATATTTTCTATTGGTTGGTTTTTGTTGGTTTTGGCTTATAAAAGTTCTCGCTTTTTATTCAGAATTACTTCTGTCTGGTGGTTGATTGATTCACCTTTGTCGATGCCCTTTGATAAGTGATATACTCATGTAAGGAAAATATGGGTTAAGCATTTTTCTCCCCTGCTAATGAGTTGGCTGCCTTGTCAATTTATCTCAAGATGTGACATTTGCCTAAAACATTGTGAATTTGTGATGCTCAAGGTTTCATTTAAAGTGGAAACATGCCCTGTCTCAAGCCCCTGATACCTTTACCTTCATTAGTATGATCATGTATAATATTGTTTGTCCTGCAACAACTACCCTTTTTTTTCTCTTTAAGGTCATTATTTATTCCTTCAAGTTTAAATTTGTTTTCTGTAGCTTATAATCACTGAAGCAGGCGTTACTGATAAAGGAACTTCATATTTTATTTAAGCACACCACCCATCTGCCTAAAGAGCAGATACCTTGGTTCATTAATTGATCATTGCTTTTTAACTAGCATTTTTTTAGTTGGGTTTCCATTTCGAGAAATAAAATCCAACTAAGTTCTGAAGCTTTTAACCTTCAGAAAATATTTTAGCATAAGGAGGTGTTTATCTATTATCCTTTATTTACTCTTCTTCCATGTTCTCCAGAATAAGAGCAGGAGGAATGGAAACCCATCTGTGAAATGAGAAACAAAAATATGTGAGCTCACTATGTAATCTGACAGTGCTTACAAAGTATACAAGGCTTATGACTTGAGGGTCGTGGGAAATGCCTTGTGAGTCTACCTCTGGCTTATGGCTTAAAGTACAAGGCACATCCACCTTCAGATGCCTAAATGCCTTATGCATGCTTATAGATGCATATGTATATGTATTTTTCCGTTTAATAAATCTATGTGTATATGTATATCCATGTATTTGTGCTCGTATCTATGCTTTAACACATTTTAAGAGGTCTTATTTTGCATTTCAATCTTTTTTTCCGGTCATTAAATGGTTTATAATAGTGTGACGACTCTAAAGTTTTTTATATTTTTATATTTCTTTTTTATGTGATCAACCAATCATTTATAAACTCGTCCTATGTAAAATATGTTTCTGTTGTGCATGTTTCTACATTTTTATCATTTTAGTTTTGTGCTTTCTTGTAAAATGAGAACCCATTAGGATTAACTCTCATGCATCAAGGTTTACACCTCAAACTAATAAAAGGTCCTGGTGCCTTGCTTCACACTCCTGTATTTTTAAGCACTGATTTGACATGATCTGTTCCAGAGGAAGGACCTAACGAAGATCCTTTATTTGTAGATTTTCCCTTAATAACCTATATCTGGGTATGCTATGATGTGCAATGTGCCAACAACACTTGACAAAATGGACCATCCTGGGTTTATTAGTTGTAGGCATTTACTGTGCTCAGTGCCTCTTGAAAAGAAGCCTAGCAAAAATCTGTAAAAAAAATTTGCATGTATTTTTGGTATTTGTTATAATTGGAATGTTGGTGGTAGTTTTGTACAAGTATCAGTCTGCTTTTCTAAACTTCATGACACTTTAAGCTATGGCATTGAAACTGATGATCCTTATTCTCAATTTGTTTCCAATACTAGTTTGTCATCTGGGATTATCATCTCAAACCCTGTGAGTTCTATTTCAATCTTTGTAAGTTTTTTTTTTATTGGAAACGGTAACTTCATTAAATAACTTTCCAGATTTAAGTACAGCTGTCAACCCCCAAGTAGGTGTTGAGCCCCAGTTATCTTTCTTACAGAACTGCCCAGAACATACTCTCCCTCACAGTCCCTTGCCCATTAGCTGATCTCCTTGTCCATTTGAAGCATGCACCGATCTCCCTTGTTGTATTGTGGATTTCCCTTATGGGCTGTCTATAAATCCAGGCTCCCAACTTAC